ACAACCACTTACCATGAACCTATACAAACCCTTTTGCTGCCACCGAGAGCAGCCGCTTTGCTCCAGGCAGCATGTGTATGCTCTCACTCGTGGAAATGATTTAGGCAAGTGTAAAGCCATCCAACCAGAAACCATTCCACCATTGGGCATATATTTACTGATGCAAGCTCATATTTTTTTATTTTACCAAAAAATTGGGTAATATATTGTGTGTGCATAAAAATTTAGTGTACTTTTTACTTAAAATATGCATCTGATAAATCATTGCACTAATACCATGCAACATTAAAAAAAAAAATTGCACCTACTACTATTTTCTTCTCCAGGGTCCTTGCTTTCGGGAATGTATATCTGGATATTTTGACAAATCCTCAGGCCTAAAATGTGCATTTAAACATATGTAAAAGCGGCACTGGCAGCAAAAGTCGACCTTCCTTTAACTTATTCCAAATTAACTTAGAGCTGATCCCCTTGACAACATCTATTGAGACGAAACGTATGTCGGGGTTGGGCGGAGATTGTGCTGACGTCACCCACGCCTGTCTGGAGCCGGGCCCCAGTGGCGTTTATGACTTACATGCTCATTTGTCTTTGAAGTTTGTATGTTTTTTTTTTTTTAATAAATCATTTGTACATTATCAAACTATCTGGAGTATTATCCTTTTTGACCAAGTACACAGCAGATCACAATAAGGGAGGAGAGATACCGAAGTCTGTGACACCTCCTTTCCATCTAGGATGTTTCAGGGAAGATCTGTTCAGCATCACACTCTGTTAGACCACCTATAATCTGGGTCTAACTATTCGGTAAGGAGAATTGTGTTTTTTGTTGATGGTGGGCACAAGAGTCTCTATTTCACTACAGACGTGGAGGATCATTGTATTCATCATAATCAGGATTTTTCCATCAGAAGACTTTTTCATTGTTTGGTGTTTCATGCATTTCGACTTAATATTATTGGTCGGAGCACATTTAAAGTATAAGTGACTCACTCTTAGTATATTTTTATAGTAGCGCAACAACTGGACATCCCAAATGACTTCTGCCCTAACTGGACCTACACTGTGACATTAAAAATGTTTATGAAAATAAGTACAAATATAATCTAGCCCTACTCACTTTTGACAAGGGTCAAGAAGCCAAGCAACTTAAAGTTTCACTAAACCCACAAGAATAAATCTGTCTGTATATGCAGTAATGCATCCTTGTCATACTCACTGTCACCTAAGGGGTGAATTCTCAGCATTGTATAAAAAACCTGGTTGATCCTGCCTGCCTCTGATAATCTCTTCTTTCACTGCCCCCAATTCAGTTGCCAATTCTACAGAGCAACATTGGCAAGCTATGAGCATGCTCTGTTGTATCTGTGTTTCAATACAGGTCATTTCCTCTGTTATCAGAGCAGTGCAGGTCACATGACTGTAACATCATGCATGTGGGAGTATAGGAAGATGATTAATGACAGCCCACAGTCTCCCTCCTCCTTCATGCCCACTAACAAAATACACAATGGGTGGTATAGTGAAGGAGATAAAAGTGAATGTGTAGTTCAGCTACACATGTTGCTGAATAACAAAGCTTGGATTTAAAATATGTATTTGTATGATAATTTTATACAAGGATGTAATGTTAAAATGTTACTAAACCCACAACAGTAAAATCAGTCTGTATATGCAGTAAAACACGCTTGTTATACTCACTGTGGCACCTAAGTTAATCCTCTGCATTGTGTAAAAAAGCTGTTTGATCCTGTCTTCTTTGATCTTTCCCTCCCTCTACTGTCCCCAATCCATCTTCTGATAGTACAGAGCTTTAGGAATCACTCTGCACATGTTCCATTTAGCATGTATTGCTAGTTTTTTTTTTTTTCTTGGGAGAGTGCATGTGATCAACATTGTCCAACCAGAGGGTCAAGAACTATGCAGTCTCATAGGACAGTCAGAGCAAATTGAAAACACCTACTATAAGCTTTAACCAGTGCTGGGCTGGACACTGATAGAAGTCACAAGACTGCTATATACTGCTCATGAGAAAAGGTATTGAGCAATTTATATTAACTAAAATAAGTGCATTTCCATGTTGTGTTTACTGTGGGAGACCAGATATAGTGAATGTAGGGTCCTGGGTTTAGTAACAGTTTAAATCTATAGTTTTCTATGGAATCTTTAAATCTTTTTTTCTGGGGGCTGTTATGGGACTGGGGCAGCACTGTCTGGACACAAGGGTCACAATTCATGCTTCCTCTTCTGATGTACATAGATACTATGATCTCTCCCAGCATGGGCTCAGCATTAGATATGAATTATGTGACCACTGTATACAGCTATGGCATACAGGTACTTAGTTTAATTTTTTTAAGAAGAACTACACAAACATGCATACTTTGGCAGAACATATAAAGGTTTTCATGGGGTGTTTAGTATCACTTTAGGTGAAAATGGCACTCAGTCTATAGCTCTCCACAATGTAATGTGATTTGGACTGTAGTAAGAAACCTCCTCCCTTGCCTGCTTGGCTTTGATAGGTCTATGTTGTCTCCTAAAGCTTTAAGAGTTATATGTACAGGTGAAACTCGAAAAATTAGAATATCGTGCAAAAGTTCATTTATTTCAGTAATGCAACTTAAAAGGTGAAACTAAAACATGAGATAGACTCATTACATGCAAAGCAAGATAGTTCAAGCCGTGATTTGTCATAATTGTGATGATTATGGCTTACAGCTCATGAAAACCCCAAATCCACAATCTCAGAAAATTTGAATATTGTGAAAAGGTGCAGTATTCTAGGCTCAAAGTGTCCCACTCTAATCAGCTAATTAAGACATAACACCTGCAAAGGGTTCTCAAGCCTTTAAATGGTCTCAGTAGAAATCACAACCATGGGAAAGACTGCTGACCTGACAGTTGTGCAGAAAACCATCACTGACACCCTCCATTAGGAGGGAAAGCCTCAAAATGTAATTGCAAAAGAAGTTGAATGTTTCCAAAGTGCTGTATCAAAGCACATTAATAGAAAGTTATGTGGAAGAAAAAGGTGCACAAGCAGCAGGGATGACCACAGCCTGGAGAGGATTGTCAGGAAAAGGCCATTCAAAAGTGTTGGGGACTTTCTCAAGGAGTGGACTGAGGCTGGAGTCAGTGCATCAAGAGCCACCACACACAGACGGATCATGGACATGGGCTTCAAATGTCGTATTCCTCGTCAAGCCGCTCCTGAACAGCAAACGTCAGAAGCGTCTTACCTGGGCTAAAGAAAAACAGACCTGTTTGTTGCTCAGTGGTCCAAAGTCCTCTTTTCTGATGAGAGCAACTTTTGCATCTCATTTGGAAACCAAGGACCCAGAGTATGGAGGAAGAATGGAGAGGCACACACTGCAAGATGCTTGAAGTCCAGTGTGAGGTTTCCACAGTCTGTGTTGATTTGGGGAGCCATGTCATCTGCTGGTGTTGGTCCACTGTGCTTCATTAAGTCCAGGGTCAACGCAGCCATCTATCAGGAGATTTTGGAGCACTTCATGCTTCCTTCCGCAGACAAGCTTTATGGGGATGCTGACTTCATTTTCCAGCAGGACCTGGCACCTGCCCACACTGCCAAAAGCACCAAAACCTGGTTCAATGACTGTGGGATTACTGTGCTTGATTGGCCAGCAAACTCGCCTCACCTGAACCCCATAGAGAATCTGAGGCATTGCCAAGAGAAAGATGAGAAACATGAGACCGAACAATGCAGAAGAGTTGAAGGCCGCTATTGAAGCATCCTGGTCTTCCATAACACCTCAGCAGTGCCACAAGCTGATAGCTTCCATGCCACGCCGCATTGAGGCAGTAATTGCTGCAAAAGGGGCCCAAACCAAGTACTGAGTACATATGCATGCTTATACTTTTCAGAGGTCCGATATAGTTCTATGTACAATCCTTGTTTTATTGATTGCATGTAATATTCTAATTTTCTGAGATTTTGGATTTGGGGTTTTCATGAGCTGTAAGCCATAATCATCACAATTATGACAAATCACAGCTTGAACTATCTTGCTTTGCATGTAATGAGTCTCATATATTAGTTTCACCTTTTAAGTTGCATTACTGAAATAAATGAACTTTTGCACGATATTCTAATTTTTCGAGTTTACCTGTATATGCAGTTGGTTTAAGGCTCTACTTGTCTGTTAGGCTAGGTTCACATCTTTGATGACAGCCATCAGAAAAAAAAAAAAAAAAAATTAGAGATGCACTTTTAATTATTTGCTTGAGGCTTAGAAGATATAGAATCTCTGACAGTTTTTAATCTTTAACTATAGTCCCCTCGCACGCATTCCTGGAAGTATGGCTCATCAATGGATAGTGCTTGTAGCGACTACCAGCTAGGACTGGAAATATCATAAGCAAACATACATATTCACCAGCACACCATGGCTCTCCAATATGGTCCAAAAAAGGTTTTTATTGAAAAAGATCACAAAAGAAAGTGCAACGTTTAGGAGCCACGCAGGACCCTTTTGTCATCACATGCCTGCCGACGAGGTCCTGTGTGGCTCCAAAACTTTGCATTTTTTGTGATGTGATCTTTCTGCAATAAAAACCTTTTTTGGACCATATTGGAGATCCTTGGTATGTACATTGGACAGTTTTTAGCACTCTCTGTGGTGATTTCACTTTACTGCCTGTGCTATTGATAACTGTTCATCAGAACTGGAAGTGAGGGAAAATCTCCAGGGCTACAAAATGCTATTAAAACCATTATATATCTGAACACTGCCAAGTAAATCTTTGTAGGGTATGCGCAATGATAGGCTGCATACATAAGGGGTGTCATTTTGAAAAGTAGCAATAAAAACACAATCATACCAGAAGCCAATACCTCAGAGCACAGTGGTTGTAAACAACAAAACTAATGTTAAATCATTTGTGATTCTTCATAAAAGGTTGTTATAAATGTATTATAAAAATAAAATTTTTATTTTAACCTATGAAATGATAAACATTCCTTTTTTTTTCTTAGTTCAATCTTCCATCCAGTCATCCTTTGCCCATTCTGGTAATTCGGTGGAAAAGTCAAAATCTTCTCCCTTGTAACGCAGAGCATGCAGATACATCACAAGATCTTTTGGAGATGGGTCAAGCCTTACAATCTTACACTCTCCACACAGCGGGTCTATTAAATCTCGTCTGTTTTCCTCTGCAACACTACTACTGTCATTTCCATCAGTGTCTTGCTCTGAATTCTTTGTCAGCACATCACCTGTCATAGTAACACTAGCTTCTGTGTTTTTGTCTGTTTTGGTACCCAACTGATCTCCCTCAGAAGATAAGGGATCACTTAAAATCGGCTGAAGGCATTGTTCATATTCCTCACTGTCCTTTTTTTTCATAGATAGATGAAGATCTTCTTCTGACAGATCCAGAATATCCAGGCTCTGTTTTGCTGCATGCTCTTCTATTAAAGAATGTAGCAGCTCCTCATTTGATTTGTTGATGTCACCTCCCTTCCCCTTGCTGGGACCCCAGGCTTCAGTATTGTAGACTGGATCATTAACAATAGGGTACCCCAAATACTGCAGGTGGACTCTAATTTGATGAGTACGACCAGTGTAAGGGAAACACTTTACTGCACTAGACTTGCCATTGTAACTGAGTCGTTGAAAGACAGTTTTGGAAGGTTTTCCTTTAGGATCTACACGGCATACACCAATCTTATAAGAAACAACCAGTATTGGCTCTTCACAAGTGATCGGCTCTTCAGGAAATTCACCAATCACTCTGCATACATACTGCTTCTCCACCTGAAAATATCACATAGGAAAAAAAAAAAAAAAAATGATCATGAAATTCTAACAGTATCAAGGGTTTCAGTAACACAAGCATAATACCAATCTAACCAGTTCAAATGATAAAGAACAGTAAATGTGGATCTGAAAAGCATGCAAGTGCCACCAGAAAGACTGAAAATATTAGTTTCTATCTTTGAAATTTAAACCATCAAGCCAAATATGGAAATAGATATGGAAGAAGCAGAGCTAGAGTATGCTATGTGCAAATGTGTATATTGGATTCTAAAATACTGTCACATACCAATAAATTATTAAACTCATCCCCTGTTCTTTACCCACTTGCCCTCCAGAGGATTTACCCCCTTTCTTGACAAGGCCATTTTCTGCGATACAGTGCTGCATTACTTTAACTGACAATTGTGCGGTCATGCAACGGTGTACATAAATGTAATTTAGGATTTTTTTGCCCCCACAAAATAGAGCTTTCCTTCTGTAGTATTTGATCTCCTATGCATTTTTAATTTTTTGCGTATAAACAAAAAAAATACCGACAACCCCTTCCTGCCCAGTGTCATTAGTACAGTGGCAGTGCTTTTTATCAGCACTATATTGTATACACTGTCACTGGAGAGGTCAGTGGCAGTTAGTTCCCACCCAGCGTCACAATGTCCACCACAATCCTGCTATAAGTCACTGATCGCTGCCATTAGTAGTATAAATAAAATACATAAAAATTCCAGTAAGTATACTGCCTTTTGTAGACGCTATAACTTTCACATAAATCAATTAGAATACATGGATTGGGATTTTTTTTTTTTCAAAAACTTGCGTTTGAAAAATCGCTGTGTAAAAATACTGTGTGATGTAAAAAATTTCAACACCCACGATTTTAATTTCTAGGGCCTCTGCTTTAAAATATATAATGTTTGGGGGTTCAAAGTAATATTCTAGCAAAAAAACTGTTTTTCATGTGAACAAAAAGTGCCAGAAAAGGCTTGGTCTTCAAGAGTGGGTGATGTGTGGCATAAGCTTCTAATGTTGGCCCTGAAATGCCAGGATAGTAGAAGCAACCCCTCCAAATTACCCTTTTTTTTTGGAAAGTAGGCACTCCAATGTATTTGTTAAGAGGAATGGGGAGTGTTTTGCATGTCTCATTTGTTGCCAGATTTTTGGAAAATGAATAAAAAACAAAAAATTTATTTATTTTTTTCTTTTCTCTTTTTCAAAAACCCTGTGACAAAAATTATATCTGTAAAATACTCACCATGCCTCCTATCAAATTCCTTGGGGTGTCTACCTTCCAAAAAGGGGTCATTTGGGGGGATGTTTGAACTATCCTGGCATTTTAGAGCCTCCCAAAACTGTGATAGGTAGTGGAGAAGTGATATGAGGAAATATGCCCTTTGAAGCCTGGAGGTGGTCATTGGAATTTAGTGCTTGTATGTAGCTAGGCTGCCAAAAAGTCTCTCATATGTGGTACCCCCATACTCGGAAGTAGAATGTATTTTGGGTGTTATTCCACATATACCCAAGGCATTTATGAGCAATAAATCATTAAAGTGACAACTTTGTGTAAAAAAAAACAAATTGTCATATTCAAAAAAATTTGTGGCAAAAAATAAAAAAATGTTCCATGGACTCAACATGGCTCTCTGCAAAACCCTTGGGGTGTTGTACTGCCCTGGCATTTTAGCACCTCAAGAAATGTGATAGGCAGTTAAAGTAAAAAGCTACGTAAATTCCAATATATATACCATAGTTTGTAGACGCTATAACTTTCACACAAACCAATTAATATACATATATAAAATAAAAACCGCAGAGGTAATCAAATACCACCAAAAGAAATCTCTATTTGTGTGAAAAAAGTACATAAATTTCGTTTGGGTACAGCATTGCACGACCATACAATTACCAGTTGAAATAGCGCAGTGCCGAACAGCAAAATATGGCCTGGTCAGGAAGGGGGGGGTAAATCCTCTGGAAGGCAAGTGGTTAAAATGGTCTGTTTGTAAAGTAGAAATCTGTTCTGTGGTTAGATGAATTGAAGTTTGACATTCTTCTTTTTGGCAACCATGGGCGCCTCATCCTCCGGACTAAAGAGGAGAGGGGCCTTATGGCTTATTAGCTCTCATTTCAAAAGCCTGCATCTCTGATGGTATGGGGGTGCATTAGTGCGTATGGAATGTGCAGCTTGCACATCTGGAAAGGCACTGACACTGCTGAAAGATATGCCCAGGTTTTAGAGCAGCACATGCTCCCATCCAGATGACGTCCTTCAGGAATGGCCTTGCATATTTCAACAGGACAATGCTAAACTGCATACTGCATCTAGTAGTAGTAGTAGTAGTAGTAGTAGTGGTAGTAGAAGAGTCTGGGTGCTCAACTGGCCTGCCTGCAGTCCAGACCTTTCACCAATCGAAAATATTTAGGACATCTTGAAATGAAAAACATGACAAAGAAAACCCAGAACTGCTGAGCAACTAGCATCCTATATCAGACAAGAATGGGATAACATTTATCTCCCAAAACTCCAGCAACTGGTCTCCACGGTAAACATGGCCCTGTCCCAACTTTTCTGAGACATGTTGCTGTCATCAATTTAAAAATTACATAATTAGTCTGGCAGAAAAAAAAAGACAAAAGTCCATCCAGTTCAACCATAAAAAAAAAAAAACAAAAAGTTAAAATCCTATACCCACAGTTGAAAAAAATTCCATCCTGATCCCCAAGAGGCAATCGGATATTCCCTGGATCAACTTTACCTATAAATGTTAGTATCCAGTTATATTCTGTGTATCTAAGAAAGATTCCAGACCTTTTTTAAAGCAATCCACTGAGCTGACCAGAACCAACTCTTGAGGGAGTCTACTCCACACTTTCACAGCTCTCACTGTGAAGAAACCTTTCCGTGTTTGGAGATTACATTTATTTTCCTCCAGACATAAACAGTGCCCCCTTGTCCTCTGTGATGAACTCTGGATGAATAGCTCTACACCGAGTTCACTATAAGAACCACTGATGTATTTATACATGTTGATCATATCCCCCCTTAATCTCCTCTTCTCAAGAGAGAATAAATTTAGTTCCTCTAATCTTTCCTCATAGCTGATCTCCTCCATGCCTCGTATCAGTTTGGTTGCCCTTCTCTGTACTTTCTCCAGTTCCCCAATGGTCTTTTTGTGAGTTGGTGCCCAAAACTGAACTGCATATTCCAGATGAGGTCTAACTAATGATTTGTACAGGGGAAATGATATCTCTCTCTCTGGAGTCTATACCTCTTTTAATACAAGAGAGGATTTTTTAGCCAGTTTTCTACCCAATTACATATGGATTTTTCCAAGCCTGTAGACTTTACCTTACACATTGGCTGTGTGTGGGGAACTGTGTCAAACGCTTTTGCAAAATCCAAATATACCACGTCTACCGCCACCCCTCTGTCCAAGGTAATGCTCACCCCCTCATAAAAGAAAATTAGATTTGTATGATAACTTGTCTTTCATGTATCCATGCTGTCTGTCGCTTAAAATATATTTTTTCCAGCAAGAACCCATCTATGTAGTCTTTTATTAAACTCTCCAGTATCTTCCCAACTATAGAAGTTAAACTAACAGGTTTATAATTACTTGATGAAGATTTTGACCCCTTTTTAAATATTGGCACCACATTGGCCTTACGCCAATCCAGTGGTACTATGGCAGTCATTAAAGAGTCCCTAAAAATTAGAAACCATGGCTTTGAAATGACAGAGCTCAATTCTTTAAGGACCCGTGGGTGTATGCCATCCGGTCCAGGTGCTTTATTCACCTTTATACGATCAAAATATTTTTGGATCATATCAATTGTGAGCCAATGTGGATCATCTGGAGCTGTGCCAATACCATGCCCATTATGGACAAGAGCACCCCATGCTCCTTTGTATACACAGAGCTGAAGAAGGTATTTAATAAATTTGCCTTCTCTTTGTCCCTAGTCACCCACTCTAGATTATTTTGTAAAGGGCCTACATGCTTGGACCGGACCTTATTACTATTTATATATTTGAAGAATTTTTGGAGGTTGGTTCTGCCATATTTTCCAATCTATCATGTTTTCAATTTTTGCGGCCTTCATTTCCTTTTTGCATACTCGGCTATATTCTTTGTAATGTTTAAACGATGATAGCATTCTTTCATTTTTATATTTAATAAAAGCTCTTTTCTTATTATCTATAGCTTTTTTAACTTTGGCCATAAGCCACATAGGTTTGATTTTTAGGCTTTTAAACGTGTTTCCCATGGGAATATTTTATGCAGTGTGTTCACATACAATCTTTTTGAACAACTCCCATTTCTGTGTTGTGTTCAACTATGCCAATATTCCCTCCCAGTCTAAGTCTTGGAGAGCAGCTCTCAGCCTTGGAAAATTAACTCTTAAAATTGGGTGTTTTTTTTCCCATATGTGCTCGCTGTTTACAGCCAACAATAAATGAAATCATGTTATGGTCACTGCTACCCAGATGTTCTTTATATATTAACATTTGTAATAAGCTCTGCATGGTTTGAGATTACCATGTCCAGCAGAGCATTATTCCTAGTACGGGCTTCTGTGAACTGTACCATAAAATTGTCCTGTAGTAGGTTTAAAAATGTTTGCCCTTTAACTGTTCCTGCAGTACCATTACTCCAGTCAATTTCTGGGTAGTTAAAATCCCCCATTATTATCACTATCCCAGCCCTTTCGATCTGTGCAAGGAGCTGAGTCTCTACCTCCTCATTAACACTGGGAGACCAAGAAATCCTTTGCCTTACCTGTCTCCCTCGCACTAGCTCATCCATTTTCTTAGACACTTCAAGAGTTTTTGGCAAACATAAGCACACCCGAGGTCATACGATCCAGGCGGTGGATGGTGTGAAGGTCCTTCAGATTGTGCTCCTTCCCCAAAATAAAAATGACAGTGTTGTGTCTAAAGCGGCCACAAGGATGCACTGGAAGGGACGATGGCTTATCCACTGCTATAAGCTCATCATTTTCAGCTATAATACGGAGAGGCTGTGCAGTTACTGGAGGCTCATGACGATGCACAGTGTTCCTCATAAAATCATTATCCTAGAAGAATGCAAAGAAGTAAAAGTTAAAAAAGCTGATGACCCACAGAAAACAAAAGGAATACAAATACACAACAATCCACAATACCTCTCATCTTCAATTACATAATGCAGTATGTATATCAGTAAATGTAATAAATGAGTGTAAGATGAAACATTTCATTCCGCCAACTTCATACAAATTAGCAGCTGACCCTTTCATGACCAGAGGTTATGGAAGCTTGAGCCTGGGTTCACACTGACGTGGTGCAGAGTTCGCAGTGGTTTCTGCGGCTATATTAACAACACCCAAAAATCAAAATAACGGGAATACCCATGCAATCCGATTCTAGTGTGGACCAAAAAAAGAGTCCTTCACCTTTCTGGTGCAGATGCGGTGCGATTACATTTTGTATGGCTCAAATCTCACCGCACAGAATTTGCATGTGATTTGCACAGGAATGCGGTGCGGTTCCTGTGCGAATCACATGCTATGTGCCGAACCCAGGCTGAATGTATCAGGCCAAATATAGCAGTGCCAGTTAACTTGCCAATAGCTCAACAAGCAATTTATCAGTAGACTCTAAAAACTAGGAACATGCACAGGTGAGGGAGGAATTAAATGTGAACAAAGCTTCACAAAGTGATTAGATTGTGTATAAGGAGTGCACAATTAATGGTAAACCATATTTAACTCTTTACATATAACATTTAACCTAAATGCCTCCAAGGTCAATAATAAAGCAGTAAAGAAAAATAGAAAAGATAGACGTATGATGAGAACATGTGACCTAAAGTTGCACACGAGGTCCATGTTAGTTGTTAGCACACAGACCAATTGAGATGCTTAAAGCAGTTGTAAAGGCAGAAAATTATTTACCTTCATACATTCTATGCATGAAGGTAACAACCTCCTGTGTGCAGCAGCCAGGGTGGATAAAAATCAATGATTTTAAAAAAAAAAAAAATAAAATAAATAAATCGATTTTTTTTTAATTTGAATCTGATTATTTTTATTTAAATCGGATTTTTGTAAATAAAATGCTTTTTGAGGAAAATATATTACCATCCAAAGGTTATTCCATCATGAAATAAAGATTAGTTTTTTATTTATGTAGAATAAGGCTGTATATGTTTAATTTTTTTGGTAAATAAATTCCATGAATCCATTCACAATGTCATGCTCTTCCAGAGGTTTTTGTAAGATTATTGGGCAGTTTTCTCTGCCCACAAGATATTATCACAGATGTTTGGTTTACTTTTGCAGTTCTCAAAACTGAATTTGACTCAGCGGAGATCACATGCCTCTTCTTCACAGCAAAAATGTTATAACATGAACAGAGTTAAGAAAAAGACCTTAATCCTAACTTCTACAAACCTATGAATACAGAATCAACCCCTTCAGTGCTAAATTTCAAGAAGTTCAGTGAATAGAATAGAAACAATATGTTTCTGATTGTTTGGAGTGGAATAGATCTGCACAAGAAGAAAGTGAAACTAAGTGTGAGGAGGAAGGGGCTGACAGTTTCTTGAAATATAAATATTTTGTTTAGCCAAATTAGTTAAGAAACATGGATGTTTGTTTAAGCAAATAACATATGCTGGAATGTTATTGTTTCAGTTGAATAAATCTATTTAAATTGTTATTATTAAGGTAATGATTATTTTTCTCCTTCCTAAGTACAACAGAAAAGTTGTCCAAATATGAATGATTAACCTATTAAACTGGGGATAAAAAAACTAATATGAAAAGTCTAAAAATCTTCATCTACTTGCATATTAAAGTTATACCAGCAAGAATTAGTCTCTATGTAGAAAACTAGGATTTAAATCAAGCCTTACTGACTATTGATTTAAATCAGTTTGATTTAAATCAAATCCACCCTGGCAGCAGCCCCCCCAAATATTTACTGGAGCTCCATCTCAATCCAGCAGTGTGCATAAGAGCCTCAGCTGTCCCAGGTCATTCCCTCCTCGTTGGCTAAGACAGCAGCAGGAGCAATTGACTCTCGCTACTGTCAATCGCAGTCAGTGAAGAAAGAGCGGGGTCAAGCCACAGCTGTGTGTGGATGGACACAGAGCAGCGGCAAGAGAGCACTTGGCAGGAGGGAGGGACCAGGAGCGATGGCAGGGGACCCAAGAAGAGGAGAATCGGGGCTGCTCAAAGCAAAACTCATGCACAGAGCAGGTATGACATGTTTGTTATTTTACAGAGAAAAGAAAAGAGCCTTACAATAACTTTCATTGGAAGCTGGGCAGTACATCAAATAAAAACTAGTCCTACAAAGTGATATTAAAGGCAGCAGCCTCACACCCCCCGATCCCTCATTGTGATAGCTGGCAGGAAATCCTCTCCCCACACCAGCTGTCACAATAAAAAACCAGTGCAACTGTACAGGACTCCACCCACACAGCTGCATCATTTATTCAAAGTTCTGTGAATGAATGAACTACAAGTCCCATCTGCCACCGCAGCTGATGGCTTGTAGTTCTCAATGAACTGAGAGGCACAGATGAGCGCTCTTGTAGTTCACTGATCTTTCTGCTCTTCAGTAACTTTGTCTGTATTGGACGTACAGGCAGACAACTGTATTGAGAGGCTACAGGAGCCTGACACTGCACGTGCGATGATCTGATCATGGGTGCAATGCTCTGCAGGCTCCTAATAAATAAATGCATTTACCTGACAAAAAAGAAAAAACGTACACTTATTTGTTTTTGTTTATATTTGAACTTAACCTTTAAAGCCTCTTTCTGAACACTGGTTCATCATTTAATGTGCCCTTCCTGTTTTGCTTGGACCCCTCAGTGTATGACCCGCTTCCTGGGTAAAGTGGCACATCTCCCTTTGCAGAGATCTTTGGCACCATACATGCATGCGCGCTCCTGAAACTGTCCCTGTCCATTCGTACTCACAGCCCCAAAGCAAGCCATTTCCCTATTTTCATCTCCTTCCTTCTGACTGATGCATTTGGAATCCATGCTGTCCCTTCTCACTAGGTAAACAGTGCATACTCCCACCTGACAGGACGTTTGGGGAAGCTGCACTTAGGAAATAAGAGACAGAGCCAGCATAGTTTTAAAAAAAAATGTAAAACATGGAGACATGTGATAATTATGTCATGTATTAGAGAACGTTTCCCTCATAGACAACACAATATATTAGCTTAATCTTTGAGGATTTAATATTGCTTTAAAGCAGAGTTCCAGCCGTTTTTACGTTTATTAAAAGTCAGCAGCTGTAGTTGCTGACTTTTAATACACACACACACTTACATGTCCCAGAGTCCAGCGATGTTCTCACCCGTGCCGTCCGCTCTCCCCTTCTCTCCTCCAGCGCCGGAATCTAAATTTTGGGCACTAGGCTGTGACAGCTTGCGGCTTCACAGCCTGGTGCCCACTGCACACACGCGAATTGTGCTGCGCCTCCTAATTGGAAAGCTCCCAGGAGACTGCAGGAGGAAGGAGGGGGCCAAACTTCTGGCTCACTTTGCTGCGGTGAACTTAGCCGGAAGTGGGAGCGGGTACCTGTAAAAACCAGGTACCCGCTCCCCCCCTGCCCCCCCAAAGGTGCCAAATATGGCAGTGGAGGGAGGAGGCAAATAAGCGGAGCTTCCACTTTTGAGTGGAACTCCGCTTTAAGGATACCTAACTTGCTAAAACAGTGGCAATAGTTAAGTAATCAGCAAATGCCACCCCTGTACAGATCTCCTCTCTGAAGGATTAGTAGTCACGTCGCCCCAGTACAGATTACCCCCAACCATCCATCATGTGAAGGGTCAGTAGTCATGCCTCACCTGTATAGTCCCCATCCCCCTCACCCGTGAAGGGTCAGTAGTCATGTCTCACCCATATAGACCCACTCTGTGAAGGGTTAGAAGTCATGCTGCCCATTACGGATCTCCCCTCTGTAGGTTGGTATACTCCTTGTACAGATCTCCCCTGTAAAGAGTTAGTAGCCATGTCCCCCTGTACAGTCCCCCCCCCCCCCCATCCTGTGAAGGGTCAGTAGTCATTCCCTCCTGTGAAGAGTTAGTAAGCGTGTCCCCTGTACAGATCACCCCACCCACTGTGAAGGTTCAGTAGTCTTGTTCCCCTATACAGATCTCCCCTGTGTAGGGCTGACAATCATGCCCCCCGCCCCACTGAACATGTCCCCCCCCGTACAGATCCCCATCATGTGAACGGTCAGTGGTCATGCACCCCCAAGTACAGATCCCCATCATGTGAAGGGTCAGTGGTCACATCCCCCCCTGTACAGATTCCATCATGTGAAGGGTCAGTGGTCATGCACCCCCCCCCCCTGTACAGATCCCCATCATGTGGTCATGCACCCCCCTGTACAGATCCCCGTCATGTGAAGGGTCACTGGTCATGCCCCCTTCCCGGTACAGATCCCCATCATGTGAACAGTCACTGGTCAAGACCCCCCGTACAGATCCCCATCAAGTGAACGGTCAGTGGTCACGTCCCCCCTGTACAAATTCCCATCAAGTGAACGGTCAGTGGTCACGCACCCCCCTGTACAGATCCCCATCATGTGAAGGGTCAGTTGACATGTCTGCCCTGCACAGATCCCCATCATGTGAAGGGTCAGTGGTCATGCACACCCCTGTACAGATCCCCATCATGTGAAGGGTCAATGGTCATGCACCCCCTGTACAGATCCCTATCATGTGAAGGGTCAGTGGTCATGCACCCCCTGTACAGATCCCCATCATGTGAAGGGTCAGTGGTCATGCACCCCCTGTACAGATCCCCATCATGTGAAGGGTCAGTGGTCATGCACCCCCCTGTACAGATGCCCATCATGTTAAAGGTCACTGGTCATGCCCTCCCCCGTACAGATCCCCATCATGTGAAAGGTCACTGGTCATGGCCTCCCCCATACAGATCCCCATCATGTGAACGGTCAATGGTCAAGTCCCCCCCGTACAGATCCCCATCATCGACACAGTCGACCACCCCCTCCTCCTCAAAAAACTACACTCCCTCGGCCTCAGAGATTCT